TTTTGGTACCAGGGATCGAACTCGGGTCCTTTCGCTTGTGAGGCGGGCAGCAGAAACACTGAGCTAAATCCCTGGCCCCTGGCTATGATTGATGTACAGATGGTTGAGTTTTCTTCATTTGTTTCAGATGGGAGAGTCCATCCAGTCCCTGTCACTCCATCCTGGCCAGAAGCAGAAGTCCTGTCCCATTATTTGGAACCATTTGCAGTTATTTCAACTCTGGGGTCACGCATGTCTCTGTGCTTTTACGACAATTGGAAATGCTCTTCCCTCTGACCTTATCTATGTGACAAGGCTTGATTCCAGCATCATCTCCTCGAAGGCCTCCCCAGCCCCAGCCTCACCCCAGCGTTCTCCCCTGTGCTCACGGACATTACAGTGCTGAGCTCTGTCCCCCTCCCTGAACTCTAAGCCCTGGTATGCACAGATCGTGGCTTTTTCATCTCTGTGGCTCCCAACCCACACAGCAGCTGAAACATTATACAAATTTAACCTGTGTTGATGAAGTGAATTGCTTCTTTTCATTTTAAAGTGAAACCTTGAACCCAGCCCAGTGATGGGTGCATGTCTACAGTCCCAGCTACTTAGGAGCTGAGGCGAGAGGACTGTCATCAATTCCAGGCCAGCCTGGGCTACATAGTGAGACCATTTCTTCCATTTCAGTTAAAATTCCTTGATCATTAGTGGCATTCGTGTCTTTTTAACCATGACGATTCATGCTCAATGAGCCACATGTGGATTAGTCCGGCTGCTTGAGGACTGGTTCCACGATAGCAGTTTATCCACTCTGTCAGTCCACCTTCTTATTCTCTAAGAGTAATACATAAATACCTTGGTGAAAATATCAAAAAGTTGCAAAACTCATACAATCCCTAAACGAAACTTACTTTCATTTTCCCATACCGGCAGTGCTGGGAGTCAAACCCAGGGTTTCACACAGACTAAGCTATACTCAGTCCTTAATCTTTTTTTTTTTGGTACCGGGGATTGAACTCAGGACCTTGCACTTGTGAGGCAGGTGCCAGAACCACTGAGCTAAACCCCTGGCCAGTCCTTAATCTTTTGGTGTATTTTTCTAATCTTTGCTCAAATTCTGATAGTGTTTTTAGGAAGGTAATAACATTGAATATGACTTTTTTTTTTTTGGTACTGGGGATCGAACTCAGGTCCCTGCACGTGCACAGCAGGCTGTGAAACCACTGAGCTAAATCCCCAGCCCTTGAATATGACTTTTATGGCAAAACATTTATTGGCACGTTTTAGGCATACGTAATGATAACACTTCTCATAGGGAACGTGCACCTGTTCATGATACACCCAGCCTTTTTCCCCTCTTCCCCCTCCTCTCAAGCCTCTTCCCCTCGTTATGTACAAAAGCTTTGTTTCAATATGGCATTTTGTTTCTTGGCGTTTATACTTACTCATATTATTAGGAGAAATTTTCATATGTGTATCTTTGTAAATGACTTTAAAAGGCAGTATATATACATGGCAAAGAATGAAACTATGATAGGCATAAAATGAAAACAATCTATTATTTTAGAAATTAAAACACAATAATAATCACTTTTTTCAAAAAAACTGCAAAACTGCACATTCCTGAAGGAATGACTAATCATGTCTTTAACATCTTATTTCCTTCTGATAGTGCTGAGTACACTGCTAAGTGTCCGGGGCTACGCTGCTCAAGATGGGTCAGGTGAGTTCTCCTTTGTGTTCAAGTCAGTGCCTCAGCACCGATGGGAGAAGCATACTTCAGCGTGTGACCTACTGACAGAGATGGTTTGAAAGGTTTCAATAGAGGGTGCAGTGTTCATTGCCACAGTGGCACCATGAGAAGTGCTGTATCATACTGCAAAGCTACCTTTGTGCAGCTTCAGGATTGTTTGTGTATTTATAATCCCAGACTCTATAGCAAAAATGTTTGTTTATCATTTTGGTGCTCTGTCAACAATTTCTGTCCCTTTTAGTTCTGTTTTTGGAGAGCATGGATGGTACAGTCAGTCAGAGAATCAATTTAGGCTTAAGATTTCTGCCTTCTCATAGGTTTCTCAGGAAGAGGTGCCTACGGGTGACATTTATGCTAGTCTTGGGGATACTGCTAGTTCCTCTGAAGAATAGCAGACCCAGTAGGTAAAAGGAGGCTACTCCTAATGCCTCCATACCCATGACAGCCTGTGGTTGACCTAGTAGCAAAGCCAGCTTCGTAGAGTAGGGTGGGTTTTATGTGAGAAGAATAACCGTGTTATTTGTCCACCCTTATTTGCCACAAGTCACCACCTATCTGTTTGCTGTTATTCTCCAGAGAGCCCAGCACCTCCTCTTCCTTGGCCCCTTTATGTTTCAACCAAATGTTTGGCTTCCAACACCCTTTCAAAACTGCTCTTGAAGGTCACTAATGACCTAACTGCTGTATCCAATGGCTTTTCCTCAGCGCCAGTTTTACTTGATGTTTCTGCAAAACTTAATATGGTTGACCACCCCTTTTATTGCTGAAATGGTTCTCACTCGTAATTTATTACACTCAGTCCTGATTCACACTCCAGGTCAGAGCAAAGAAACATTAGCAAACCTGGCCAATAGTCACTGAGTGTAACGTGCTTTTTATGTTGTCTCCCACTTTATTGTCATTTGTATAAAGAAAATTTCATCCCATTTTGAAGGAGAGAAAACTGAAGCTTAAAGGAGTTCAATAAGCGAAGCATGGTGGCTCACAGCTGTAATCCCAGCACTTTGGGAGACTTGAGATAGGAGGACTGAAAGTTTGAGTCTTGGCTGGAGAATTTAGTGAGATACCGTCTCAAAATAAAAAATAGAAAAGGGCTAGAGATGTAGCTCAGTTCAAAGGCCCTGGTTTCAATCCTCAGTCCTGGAAAAAAAAAGTTCCTGAGAGTTCAAGAGCAGAGCCATGAGTATAAGTACTGGGATGTGTCCTACAGAGCAGGGAAGGATTTTTAGAGGTCAGAAAATATTGTTTATTTCCACATACACAAAAAAAGCCCCTGGGATTTGAAAAGGGAATATACTGAATCTGTAGATCTTTTTTTTTCTTTTTGGTACTGGGGATCAAACTCGGGATGTTGTGCTTGCGAGGCAGGCGGTGGAACCACTGAGCTAAATCCCAGGCCCTAGATCATTTGGGATAGTATTGTGAACTTAACAATATTAAATCTTCTGATCCATGAACATGGGACCTCTTTCTGTTTCCAGGTCTTTTTTTTTTTTTTTTTTGGTTTTGAGACAGGTTCTCACTATGTAGTTCAGGCTGACCTTGAACTCACAGCGATCCTCCTGCCTCAAGTGCTAAGATCCTCCTGTGCTAAGATTACAGGCATGTACCATCACTACACTGGCACTAATTCAAGTTTTTAAAGGCTTGCTTCTATGGCCTAACATATGGTCTCTAATTCCTTTACTTGACAAATGAAGCACATGGAGTGAAGTGACTTGCTAAAGGTCATTTAGTTAGAAAATTAGGACTAGAACTCAGGTCTCTTGATTCTTGGTCTTTTTTTTTTTTTTTTTTACCTGGGATCAAATTCAGGACCTCCTGCTTTTTTTTTTTTTTTTGGTACCGGGGGATCAAACTCAGGACCTTGCGCTTGTGAGGCAGGCGCCAGGACCACCGAGCTAAATCCCTGGCCCAGGACCTCGTGCTTTTGAGGCAGGTTCTACATTACTGAGCTAAATCCCAGGCCTGATTCTTAGTCTTTTATCACTAGTGTAACAAGTATTTAGGGCTGCTTTTTTGCTAAAAACAGTGACTCTTCACTTGGACCTGCAAATGTCCAATGGGTAACTAAAAAGCAGCATAAAAATGTGGCATCTCAGAGCTTCCATTTTGCATCTATTTGCTTTGCTGTAGGTCATTGTCTTTGGCAGTCACCTAGGATTCCAGGAACAGGTCCAATCAGATCCACAAACATCTTGTGATGAATGGAAACTGCCCTCCAGGCAACAGCAACTGATTCGGACAAAGCCCCACCTGACCAGTCCTGAGATAATGATCAACTAGACCATCACGTGATCGAGACTGATTAACTATTCATATTTCTAGTCCCCTTTTATCTATCTCTCTCTATCTCTGTTTTAGATCCCTTTTTTTTTTTTTTGGTACCCTTTTTTTTTTTTTTGGTACCAGAGATCGAACTCAGGACCTTGTGCTTGAGAGGCAGGCGCTGGAACCACTGAGCTAAATCCCCGGCCCACTATCTCTATTTTAATTTGTTGGTTATTTTTTTTTTTGTACTGGGGATTGAATTCAGGACCTTGTGCTTGCAGTGCCACTGAGCTAAATCCCCAGCTCCTCAGCCCAATTTTTTGGGATAGCTTTCCTAAATTACCTAGGCTGGGCTCAAATTTGTGATCCTGACTCAGCCTCCCAGGGTGCTGGGATTATAGGCAGACACTAGCACATCCAGCTCCTTTATTTATTTTTTGTTAATGGTACGACCACTCATTCCTATGATTCAGGGTAGGTAGACATAAAGTCAGTTTTTGTTTTATTCCTCTATGAAGATCTCTGCATCTCAGCCTTGTATGGTGGCACATGCCTGTAATCTCAGCCCACTAGAAGTGAGGCAAGTTTGTGAGTTCGAGGTCAGCCTGGGCTACCTTAGGAGTTCAAGGGCAGTCTAGACTACATAGTACTGAGACTCTGTCTCAAAGAAAAAGAAAAAAATATATAGTTTCACATCTAATTTAACTGTTGTTTTCCTATTCATCCTTTCTATTTATGCTGCTACAATCTACTGTCTTTTGTGTAGAATACTGTAACAGGCTGATAATTTACTCTATTCACTGTTATTTCCAATACTTATTAGTCTTTCTAAAGTATAACCATGATGGTGTCATCCTCTATGCAATCATCAAAAAATAGCTCCCTTGGCCGGGGGTATAGCTCAAAGAACACATGCTTAGCATGCTCCAGGCCTTGGGTTTAGTCCCTGGCACCAAAACAAACCTACTCCATTGTGCTCACAGTATAAGTTGCAATCTTCTTGGTTTGTCATTCAAGGTCTTTCAGCCAGGGATTTAGTTCAGTGGCTCCGCTGCCTGCCTTGCAAGCACAAGGACCCAAGTTCGATCCCCGGTACCAAAAAAAAAAAAAAAGATCTTTCATAACTCGGTTCCTACCTTTTTATTCCACATCTATAGTAGGACACCCCCATCTGGACCCCTGAGTTTACCAAGAGTAAAAGGTGCTGGGAATGAGTTAAGAAGCAAAATAAACAAGGTCAATGGCATGTGAAGCAATTCCCATTGTGCATTATTCCTGCCCCCTGAATCTCGATCTTAGTCCAACTCTTGTGCATCGTTTTAGACCAGGCGCTTGTTTTTGTTTTTTTTTTTGGTACCGGGGATCAAACTCGGGTCCTTGAGTTTGCAAGGCAGGCAGCGGAGCCACTGAGCTAAATCCCCAGCCCTGAACCAGGCACTTGTAACGAGTTCCTTGCTTCTATCCATTTTGGGCCTAAGCAGAAAGAAGGCTAAAGAAGAAAAAGATTAGTGTGGGAGAGAAGTTTAGGTGTGAAAACAGGAGTCCCTCACTTTCTTACAAACTATAGCAGGGTCTAATTCTTTACTCCGTGTTTAAGAGCCTGAAAAAGTCCCAGGACTGTGCTTAAGTGAGAAAAACGGGGCAGAGCAGTTTGATTTTGGTGAGGAAGGCCTGACATTAGAAAAGCCTCTCGCTTTCTCTTCCCAGAGGTCAGGTCACGGCCCTCAGTCGTGGCCTAGGCTCTTCTTGCTCGCTGTTCGGGCGCAGCCCATGCCGACCTTGTGCCCAGCAGCCCTGGCTCCCTCAGGGAAGCTCTCCTTTCCTGCAGTCGCAGTTCCCGCCTTAGTGCGCTAGGAGCCGACGAAAGAGGGGCGCTTCGCGGGTTCCAGCCTCTTCTGGCGCCGAGTTCCAGGACCCGCCCCCCCGCCAGTTGCCAGGGAGCGGTTGCCATAGAGCTGAGCAGTTGTCCGCGTGCGCAGGCGGAAGTCCCGGATTGAGACGCCGCCATTTTTGCTGCCTGGACACGGAGCGAGAGGGTGAGAGAGCCGGAGACGCTATCCGCTTCCATCCGTCGCGCAGACCCTGCCGGAGCCGCTGCCGCTATGGATGATCGGGAGGATCTGGTGTACCAGGCGAAGCTGGCTGAGCAGGCTGAGCGATACGACGGTAAGTTGGGGGGGCAGCAGGGGGCTGGAATTCTCGGACCCTCTGCCGCCGCCCACAGAGGCCGGGAATAGAAGACAAAATGGCGGCATCGTTTCCGAGCCTGGCCTGGGGACGTGAATTCGGAACGCAGGAAATGGCTTGTGGGGTCCCGGAGCAATGAGAGGCTCCAGGCCCAGGGATTTCACCTTTTTAGTATCCTAAACTACAGACACTCTCTAGCCAGGAGGCTCAGGCAGTAGGGTGGAGGAGTTGGTTGTAAAATGGCGGCTGGCGGGGGGAGGGCGAGTCCCTAGGCGGAGGAGGGGGAGGAGATGGCGGTTGCAGTCTCCGGGCGAGCTGTCCCAAGGGAGCTTCTGGGACAGTTTTGGGACGTGAAGAACAATTGGGTGGGGTAATGGGGTAAGAAACACCCGCTACATGGGAGGCAGTGGAGGTTGGGAGCTGTAGCCGGGTGCCTTTCAGGGAAATATGGCGGGTGGGGGCGGTGGCTTTTCCTCGGAGGCCCGGTATGGGGCGGCGGTCGTGGAGTCTCACAAAGAGGAGCTCTTTCAAGCAAAAGGCTTTTTCGGCCTTGTGGTGGTGGGCAGTTTTGGAGGTTGGGGGAAGGGAAGTGAGAATCACTGCAGATTCTCATTGGGTGGAGGCAAATTGCGATGCTGCGATCATATTTCTTCCCCCTAGGCTGGCATAGCTTGTAGTTTTGGGATTTTGGGCTTTTCAGCCTTGCCATCTGGGGAGGTCCTGAAAAACCACACTCATTTGTCTTTTCCTTGGACTAACACTAGGAGAGCCCGAAGTTGATGTAATGTTTCTCTGGCTTCATAAGCTCTAGGTCCTGGAGGATGGAACATAGAATATGGAACCAGGAGACAAGGAGACCATGACTCTTAGAGTTATAAGCCTTTGTAATGCTCATGCCTCAGTCTGCCCCTTTGTAAAAATGATGACTGCCATGTTCACACGCACCATTGTGACACAAGGGAAGACCTGTTGAAAAATAATTGCAAAATATGTTTAGTAGTAACTGTATTTTGGATGGCTCTTGGGTCTTGGAATGCGTGTTCGCGCTTAGCCTATTCCAGGCGCTCATTTGAGTTTCAGGAGTTTTTGGATTGTGAATGTACGAGATTCTGTGATTTTCTTTATTCCATTTTAAGTGTGTGGTTTTACGTACACCTTTTAGTAGTTCCTCTTTGTTCCTCTAATTTGTTTTGGTGGGCGTGCTGGGTTTGGAACCCGGGAATAAGCAGGGCAGGGGAAGGCAGGGCAGGGCAGGGCAGGGCAGGTCTTTGACAGTGAACTACAGTCCTGCCTTTATTCATTTGATTTTTCAGTCATTTTTCAGAACTTTATCAAAATGCCCATTGTGTTTGTCTAGTCAGCCCGAGGCAGTTATATTTTTTAATCTCCCACTTCACATTTTGGACGTGGATGCCTGAGTTACCCATTCTTTAAACTAGCATTAAAGAGAAAAATGACGTCTGTGATTCCTGTGGTTTTAATGGCTTTTGTGGGATCTGATGAGACATGGTTGAAATCGAGTAGCAACATTGATCCTTCAGTTTTTCCTAATTTAAGCAACTTATTTTTGAAATTTTGTGTTGATTTTTAAATTATTTGTATTGAATAAGGTTCTTGTTGGGAGGGGGAGGGGAGTAACATGGGAAAGTACAGTTCAAGGTCAGCCTTGTCTTTATATCAGTGTATTTAAAAATCAAACAAGTGTAAGTATGCTTGTAATGGAAGTCACTCTTCATTCCTTACTCTTCATCCCTCTTAATCCAGTTTCCTGGGGAGGAAACTTGATATTTTAATATTTTATCATTTGTGGGGATTTAGACTGTATAAACTTTCTGTGATAATCAAAAAGGAGGTAGGGAAAGGCTTTTTGTCCCCTTAACTGATTTGAAAGCATATGATTTTATTTTATTACTTTTTTTGAGACAGAATCTCACTATGTAGTTCATTCAGGCTGGCCTTGAACTTGTGGTGATCCTCCTGCCTCAGCCTCCCAAATGGTGGGAAAACAGGTGTGTACCCCATTGCTGAGGATTTTTGACCAAAGCCCTTATTGGTTATTCAGCACAGGACTGTTTAGATAAAGTTACATGGTTAATGTTTGTTATGCGACCCCTTGAGGCTTTAAAGGGGAAAGAAATATCTACAAGGTTGAGAAGGTCCTCTGTGAGACTGTTGGGATAGGAAAGGGAAAGGACAGTTACTAGAAATTAGCCTTTATGTCCACTCCTTTGTTGAGTGCTACGATGCAGTTTTGTTTGTGGTGAGAAAATGCTATCACAGTTACTGGTCACTAAACAATTGTATTAGGTGTAGGGGAATGAGAGGGTGCATTGGAACAGTATGAATTTGGGTACTTGGATATCATTGGATTTCCAACTGCTCTTCTTTCTTCACATCGCTATCCAAGGTTAGTCTTCTATTTTGCCTGCCCTGTGGAACCTAGTCGCTAAACTTTATCCTCATTTAATTATCCTGGGGAATTTAAATAAATTTTTATAGATTATTTAACGGTATTGGAGGCAAGACCAAGACGTGTTCAGGAGAGGATGATTTGGAGATTAAATGTAAGAAATAAGACTTCACCTTGATTAAATGTAGCATCTCACCTGTATAACAAGTCAGAATGGCTGGGGATTTATTTAGCTCAGTGGTTCCGCCACCTGCCTCACAAGCTCCAGGACCCAAGTTCGATACCCAATACCAAAAAAACCCAAAAACAAGTCAGTAGTCTAAGAAATAGTTTTTACATCATTTGTAGTCATTTATCAGTATTCCTGAACCAGATCTTACTTGCCATATATACTAACCACATCAGTGTAGAAAAGTAGGAACTATAGAGTGGGGGGAAATTGAATACTTTTCCCTTTTTGTGGGCACAGAGAGGTGAACACACTGGGCTTGTCCAAGTGGTACT